TCATTATTCCGGATCCCTCCATTATAGTTAGGGTGCCACATTAATCAAAAAACACGACCAAGTCCTACACAAAGCACTTGCTAGATAATCCTGGACGGACCCACGAAATCTCTTGCAATAACAACATATCGCTGGGGCCCCATGATGTTGAGAACCCCTGAACCTTCAACTTGAACCCCAAATGCGACACCCCAACCCTAGATCCTAGACTCAACCCTTTAAACCTCAGATTAGAAGGGTAAAAAACCCTAAACCTCTAAACCCTACAACCCTAAATCCCCAAATCCTATACCCCATTACTGAGTCTTCCACCTCCCTCCACCTGCCCAAGCCGAGCCCCACCCAGCTGCCGATTCCAAACTCCTCTTCTCAGCTCAGCTTCTAGATGCAGGATTTAGGCTTTAGGATTTAGGGTTTAGGGTTTAGGATTTAGGGTTTGGCTTTGGTTTAGGGTTTAGGCGATCTGGGAAAGGGAGAGCTTCGTGAGCTGCGCCCTACATGATGCCGCCTTCAGCCTTCAAGCTCGCAAAAAGTACTTGGAGGGTAAGGGGACCTAAGTAATAATGGAAAAGAACATGGAAACTACTATATATAGGGTTTAGGGTCAGGGGGACTTAGTAACCAGGGTAACAATGGGGATAATTGGGGTTACCATATGGGTTACAAGGCTTCTTAACCTACTTGCTAAGCCCCCCTGACCCTCCAAGTATGCTGCCTCTTCGTCAAGCCATGGAGACAGAATGGAGGATGGCTCTCTTGATTCACTAGATTAGGCTTGGGGGGGGCCCTAAAAAGATTGGATTTTGTTATGGCCTTCTAGGCAATGGACAATGATAGTGAGTAATGAGAATCTCAAACTGCTTTCAAACCTACCCCTGCTCAGATAATGTAAATCAGCCCTCCTTAGCGCTCAGTTACAGGTGTGTGGGGTTTACAGGGTTTAGGGTGTAGGCTACAGGGTTCAGTAAACTCACTTACACAAGATTTGCAGAACTACCCCAAATCAAGTCTTCACTCTTACATCCACCACTATCATGAGGATAACGAATTCCAAAGTATAGCTCCCGTTTCGAGTTCTTTAATGTTCAGAGATGAAGGATGATCCGGGATGTCTAGGGTTAGACTGTTGGGTTCGTGAGTTGGAATACGCTGTTGTATTGGGTCTACGCTTCAGGGTTCAGGGGTCAACGGGTGACTCAACAACTTACGTTAAACCTAGTCCCACACCCATCTGCCTCTCAGCTTGGATTTAGACTGAACCCTTGCAAATAGTGAACTAAAGTCTGCATCATGTGTGTATACACCCTAAACCTATATGAGCTACAGTCATTTTTCTTACATAGTTCACCGGACATGGGTTCCTTATTAAGGAGTCTATTAAATTAGGGACTGTACTAAACTACAAGAAAGAACCCCTGTGTCCACTGTTAAGGGTCCCTTAATAAGGCTAATATTGACAGTAGCTCACATACTAAACCCTAAACCTATATGAGCCCTGGACGAAATTTGTACTATATCCCTTAGTAGGTCACCCCTAAAACCCGATATATTCCCCCTTATAGGTCCCCCCCAACCTCAATGTAGTCCGTAGCTCATATAAAGAGCTCCTTGCAGATGCTCATAGCTAAAACCTCAATCTCTCCTAGTATCCCCCTTAGTCATCCTTATAATACTCCCCTATGTAATCCCTATATAACCCCCTTGAAGGAGTTTAGACCATGGCTCATATGAGGAGCTCCTTGCAGATCGTCACGAACCCACTTGGCACCGTCGCTCCAGAGGAGCCTAACCTTGCGAATTTAAGGTTTTGGGTTTTGGGTTTTGGGCTTAAGGGTTTAGGCAATTTAGAGTTTAGGATTTAGGGCTTGATGGTTTAGGGTTTAGGGCTTTGGGTTTAGGGTTTCAGGGTTTAGGATCTAGGGTTTAAGGTTTAGGGTTTCAGGGTTTAGGATTTAGGGTTTAGGGTTTAGAGTTGTAGCGTTTAAGGTTTCAGGGTTTCGGGGTTAAGGGGAAGTCTGCTCAACCTTGACATCAGGAGTAAGAGGCTGTTGGTGACGGGGCCCCAGTACCCCAAACTTGGAGAATTACAGCATGCTAGTATATGGAGGTCGTGTAGGCTTTGTGAACCAACCACAGAAGAAGGCTCACGACACCCTCAACCCCAAACCACGCTCTGCCGGCAACAGCTGCTCAAGGAATTCGTCTGAACCCAAGAGTCTGACCAAAGACCTTTGAAACCTCTGTAGGTTATGGCAGGATAACATGCGGACTACCTGGTCATTTAGGTGGCGAATCAGGATTGTATAAGGGATATGTATCCCAAGCCCTAAACTTTACCCCTGCCCCTCCATGGGGCCATCCCGTCCAAAAAATATGGAAAGACAGTCACCGATGTTCAGATTTGTCCTCCAGACACAGAAGACACACGGGCATATGCGGCGCATCAATACGGAAGCCCTGAGCTGCAAACCTAGATCGAACTTGAGGTCCCAAATCCTATACCCTAAATCCTAGACCCTCGCTAAATCTTAAACCCTAAATCCCAAACCCTAAGTTGTAAACCCTAAAGCCTAGACCCTACACCCTATGGCAAGTCACAGGCTCCTCCTTGATGATGGCTGAGTATCTTTCCCCTGCCAACACTATGTACCTGACCAGCCGGCTTTCAGTTTTGGATTCAGGGTTTGGGATAAGGGTTTAGGGTTAAGTGGGTTAAGTGGGTTAAGGGTTTAGGGTTTCAGGGTTTCGGGTTTAAGGACTAGGCCTAGAGAATGGAAAAGAAACTCACAGGTCAGCCGGAAATGGGTTTATGCAGGAATGTACGCTTCAGATGCCGCAGGAGCTTTGAGGGAGTTACGGAATTTCGGGATATAGAAACACATATGTATATATATATGTAGGGTTTCATGGGGATATGTAAGGGCATGTAGGGTTGTAAAAAGGAATACTTTGGACCATTAGCCCTTAGGACCCTGATATGACGGCATATTGCCCCCCTCAACTGATGAAGGGGAGAAAGAGAACTAAGTTATATTTTACCTTGCAAAATGTAGACTGAATCGGTGAATCAAACTAAAGTCTAAGGCCTGAATTACTACCAATATCATCTGTTTCAATGTATCAGATTTAGACAAGGAACCTAGGATCAGCATTTTGGTAGATATTTATTCAACGAATCAAGCCTATAGCTTTGCAGAGAGTGAGCCCCAAAACTCCGGTTTCTTTTGAGGATTATAGGGGGAATTTTTGCTATCGCCGTGCGCGCTCCGGAGCGCGCATTGGCGCTTGCCCTGTGCTTCTTGGGTCAATATTGATCTCAGCGTAGATTGTAAATCTACTTAAGTTGCTACATCTAAAATACCTGGACCATAGCTCTGGGAAATGGGCTTGCGTTGTGGTCTCCAACCAGTATGGTCGTTTACGGCCTCTATGTCTTCCCTGAATCACTATGCGGTATCTGTGGGCAGAACTGAACACCACCTTGTGAATGGGGTCTTCCATAGGGCACGTGAAGACTTGGTATATCATCTTGTACTGCAGGTTAGCTAATCTGTCCAAAGGTCTTTGTGGGTAACTAACCTGTCTCCACACTACATGGTTACTGATACGTGAGTAGTATGAGGCTTTGATTCCCACTATGTCACTACGCCGCGTAGGAATCTGAAATAAACTCCATTAATCCTTTTCATGTGTTTTGGAGTGAGGTCAGGGCATCCAACCCGTATATACGCGTGCTAAGAAAAACCGACTGGAATATGTATAGCTTCTTTTTTACGGAGCATTGCGCTGTTCCATACTAGCCTGAGCTGTTTGTAAACGGCTTCTGCAAGCGCTGCTCGATGTTTGAGGGCCATAGAAAAGGTACTCTCCCATGAACTCACTGAACCCAAGTACTTTATTTGCGTTGTGTTCGGTACCAATGCACCGTTTTGAAACTTAACACCTGGGCTATCAACGCCTACGCTCGCGAGAATCTCTGTCTTTGTCTGATTAAGTTGCATTCCGTAATAATCCGCTTGGGCTTCCAGGGCGCTCAGAAATAGTTGCATCTGCGTTGTGGTCAAGGAGAGAAGCAGCGTATCATCCGCATATTCCAGGTCGAGCGTGGGTCCCATAACAGACCATGTGTTTGTTGGCGTCCCGTTCATGCGTAATGCTTCGTCGACGTCCGCGAGCAACACGGTTAAGACTATGATGAATAAGTATGGGCTCAGCAGGCAACCCTGTCCAATTCCCGAACCCACCCGCCCCCTGGTCACTTCTCCTAACGGACCCTCCGTATAAAAGGAAGCATCCGTGCACAAGGCATTGATGAATTTAAGGCTGTACTTTGAGAGCCCGAATTGACGGAAACCCGGCATGGCGTTGTGGTCTAATGAGTCGAATGCCTTTTTCCACTCCAAAAAGAAAGTGGCATAGAGGGTTGGTCAGACCATCCCATGGCTCTGAGTAAAAGGGGTGCGAGGTACGCGCTGTGCTCTAAACCCATGTGTGCTTGGCCAGTCGAGACTGTAGCATAGCGGCGAAGACTTTATAGTGTTAAGCAAAGAAATAGGCCTGTAGTTGGCAGGGTCTGCATCCGAACCTTTACCCTTGTAAATAGAAACCACCAATGCTTCTTTCCATTCTTCGGGGGCCTCTCCCGACTCCCAAACCCTGTTGTAATACTCCAGCAGCGTGATCCTTAACTCCTCATCCAATATTCTAAACAGGTCGTCTGGCCCTGGGGCCTTGTTATTCTTCACCCTGCTGATTGCTTCCTCTAGTTCCTGCTCTGTGAAGGGTTCGTCCGAAGTATTGGTAGGGTGCAATGGCGCCCTCTTACTTAGTTCTTCTACCTTGGCGGGGTCCCCTCTATATACCCACTGCTTATTTTGAAGGTGGTCTCTAAAGGCCTCGTGTGAATTGGACCACGGAACCGGCCTATCTCCCCCAACTAGGTAGTTCTTTTTGGCACGAAACCCTTGACGCTGCGAACGTACCGTTTTCCAAAAGACACTAGATTCTCTTTCCTGGGCTTGCAAAAGCCTGACGTGGATCCATTTAACTCTATTTTTTCCCGCGGATCGTTTTGCCTGGTTGCGGAGTTGTTTTGCATTGTGCTCTTGCGCGGCTTCAATTAATCTTGCGGCTGCTAAAGGTTCCAGTGTTGCGTCCGTTATCCAGGGCCGACTGCGCGTTGTGGTCTTTGGAGCGAACGTGCTCTTGGCTGCTGTAGACAGGGCTTGTGAAATGGGTTCAAGCTCCGCTGCTGTGTGTGAGGGTTGGACGTGTGCAACAGCCGGTGCTGATGTGCTGTGTCTACTCGTGGATATTCTACCTTGATTGGCCAGGGTGTCCACCCGCTCGTTGCCCTCGTGTCCCGCGTGCCCCTTGATCCAATGTATCTTGAAACGCGTGTCCGTGGTTTTGTATAGAAATCTAGCTTGCATTACCAATTCCTTATTCGTCAAGATGGGCCTTGCTTTATAGGGGGAATAGGAATTATATGGGGACGCTTGGGGACATATTGGGATAACGGAAAACAAAATGGAAACCACCATATTAGCCCTAAAACTCAAGTTTTTCTGGAGGATTCACCTTGCCGAGATGCTTAAGGTTTAGCGGCTCAGTTTAGCGTATACTTGATGTACACAACCCTGACATCCATCATTGACTTGCCCAAAACACCTTCTATGGCCATGGAAGAAAGCCCTAAACCCTCAACCCAGACCCTAAACCCGAAACCCTAAACTAAGCTTGGGTTCCTTCATGCTTAGCATCCAGCCCTGAATCCTAAACCGGCTGGGGGTCCGTAGCGGCCTTTCTGGTGATTACAGAAACCAGATAGTAGATAACCTGCCCGAATGACTTAGATTCTAGAGCCCTAGGAATGCCTCTTCCTCTCAAAATGCTAGACAACACCTTTGCTTCGCCGAGAAGCAGTTCGCCCTGCTCTTGCTCGAGCACGGTAGTCTGATCTTCATCCCAGTGCCAGACAATTACGCCAGCTTTGATGAAGCCTGGTTCAATGCTGGGTTTAGGGTTTCCCAAATATAGATATGTATATATTGGGTACCTATTACCCCCAATAATGGAGAATCAAATGGAAAAGAAAATGGAAAATGAAATGGAAACTGGGAGTATAGGGTGGTTTATAAGGATTGGGGGTTTCCCAAAATTAAGGGTACCTTTTTGGGGTCCCCATATTAAGGACTGTAGTATTTGGGGGTCTATATTGGGGTCCCATGCTTGTTGGAAACTACCAGGTTGGTTGGTTGGTTGGGGTAGGAAGTTACAGGTTGCAGGCTAGGTTTTGAAGTTGTGGAGTCTGAGGTGGGACTGTCATGTTCTATTCAAATGCAACTGTAATCGTGTAGCCATTTGGGATTTCCTGCAATTCGTACGAGAGATTATACCACCAGTAGCCTGAACGGCCTACATAAACCCTGAAGAACCACGTAAAGAACCCTTACTTAAACCTTATTTGGGCCCTTGTTGGGCTGGGGGTGTTCTTAAGCGAGTACAGGAAGCTATGAAAAGCACGGTCCCAAAAAATTCCCCAAGAGTTTCTGTTGCCCTTTCAGAAAAAAGCCCTGCAGCGAAATAACAACAACAAAAGCAGTGGTGGTAACAAGAGCTACACAGTAAATAGTCATAGTCTAGTGATACCAAACTTGACGGTTACAACGCTAACTGTAGCCCTAGACCCTAAACCCTGAACCAGTAGACTTTAGGTTTCCAAGGGGATGGATTCAGCTCTCTCTCGAGTAGAAGTAATGGGGAGATCAATGGCCAGGGAATTTGCAAGACGTGTTTGACTCCCATTTGCTCGCATGAAGGAACCTCTCCATTGCTGCCTCAAAAACATATGGTGGTTTCCGTCAATAGCAGGACTCCAATGTAGACCCAAAATACTATAGTCTCTAGAGTCATTTTAAAAAACTCCCATGTCACTTACTTCAAGCACCGGTATGCAGATCAAGACTCCCACAAGCAAGCTGCAAAACAACACGGCTTGGGCATCAATGGCATGTACTCGTTTTCGGGGGGTTGGTATGGCTTTTGCTTAGGATTTGATGAGGGTCCCCCGAAAGGTACGGCATGTGAAGATAGAGGAAGGTCTTGTAGAAAAAATGCCTGATTTGTGTCAAAGCCAAGAAGGGCGATCAATTCATGGTATTGAGGAGCATCCACGCCTTAGCCCCAAACTCCAAGCCCCAAACCCCCAAACAACTGTAAACAAGTAATCCAGGAGCCTCTTTGACTAGAATAGGATCAAAGTAAAACTTCCAGGGCAATTTCTACCCCCTGGCCCCGCTCTCCGATTAGAGTGTAGGGTTTGGAGTGTAAGGTTTGGGTTGGCAGGTGCTGCTCAGGAAAAAATGCGCAAACTTGACAAACCCTCTGAATGCGCTCGAGGCCGTAAGGTCCCACAGCCGGTAATACAAACTTCAGAGGCCTAGATACTCAGAATAAGCTCTTTGAATAAATTGAAACCTGCGAGGAAAAACTACTGCAAAAAACGATGTTGGGAGCCTTTCGGCTCACATGTTCAGTCCCACATGAGCTATAGTCTAAACTCCTAGTATCCCCCTTAATAAGCCCTATAGTAGTCCCCTATATAATCCCCCATATATCCCCCTTTAAGGTAGACTATAGTTCACATGAAAACTGACATGAACCAGGTCACAGGTTGGAGAAGCATCCACATCCAACCTTCGAGACAAGGACTGGGAAACTGGTAAATGTCCAATGGTCTTTCCTGAGTAACAGCTAAGTCAGGGTACCTCTTGGGGGGTCCCTGTAATTGAAGGAGTTTGGTATTTTGGGGTCTATAACTGCCTGGATTTCGGGCGAAATCTTGCAGAACTTGTCTTCTGGACCAATGGACTCTAGTAAAGGACTGCGGCTCTTGCAACTAAGGGCGACCGCGCAAACAGCAACGCTGTTCCACGAGAGCGTGGGGCACAGGGTTTGGGGCACTCTGCAACTCCAAGCTTGAACACATGCCTGCAAAAGATGTAGCTGCATGACATCTGTGTTTCCGAAACCCTGAACGTTTCACTGCGACCAGCCAACTCGGACCAGCACTACCCCCAACGCCTGAAACCTTATCCCTAAACAAGCCCAGAACGGCTGAGGCCAAGCCCGAAGAGAATGAAGCCGAACCCTTATACCTGAATTCCTACATTTTGCGCCCAATCATCGACCCCCTCTCTGTTTTCAGCTACACCCTAAACTCTAAACCCTAAACCCTGAACACTAAACCCTGAACACTAAACCCTGAACTTCCCTAAACCCTGAACTTCCCTAAACCCTGAACTTCCCTAAACCCTGAAGCCTGAACCCTGAACCCCAAACCCTAAACCCCTTTCTGGTATCACTTCCTAAGACCCTGTGTCCCAAGCACAGAATTCAGACCTCAAGTTTGCTAGAGTTTAGAGTTCAGGGTTTAGGGTCTAGGGTCTTGGAGCCTCATGGGACCTAATACCCACTTAGAACTGGAGTTCATGGGACTTGGTAGCTACTTACACTTGGGGTTATAGCCCTTATGTGGCCATTCAGTGGAATTACAGGTAAGGTTATTCATAAGGCAGGTTATCAGCACTTATTAGATCACAGTAACCTCCAAGTAGGCAATTACCAACAGTATTTTGTGGTACCCGATACCATGGTATTTTGTGGTACCCGATACCATGGTTATCTATGGGAGCAGAATTGTGATGAATCTTTAAGCCTCTACACTAGGGCGTTTGAGTTTGGGATTCGGCATCGGGGATTTTAAGACTGTGGGTTTAGGGCCAGGCTTAAAGATTATGTTTTTTCAAGTTGAGGTTTAGGATTTAGCGCAACCCCAAAACCCCAAAACTTCAACTTTAGCTGCAAACAAGCCCCCCCCCCCAAACCCTAAATCCTAAACCCTAAACCTTAAACCCTAAACCTTAAACCCTAAACCCTAAGCCCTAAACCCTAAACCTTAAACCCTAAACCCTATAGTATTCTCATAATATCCCTATATACCTCTAAAACAATTTCCTCACCATCTCAAGAGCCAAAAGCCCTGAGATTCAAAAGAGAAGAACGCTTCTGTCGCCGGTTCAGGGCTTAGGGTTTAGGGTTTAGGGTTTAGGGTTCAGGGTCTAAGGTTTTGGGTTTTGGGTTTAGGGTCTAGAGCGTGCAGAAGTTGCTTTCGGAAAAAACAGCAGGTACACGGCTCCGACCTCACAAAGAATTAAGGATCTCTGAACCGAAAACCCGAAACCCTAGGATCCTAAACCCAAACCACAAATCCTGAAACCCAGGAGCCCTACCTTGAAGCTATTGGACTTGGCGATGACTGTGCTTAGAACCCCACTACCCCCAAAACTGAACTTAAAAAGGGTACCCCGGGTATGAGTAAGGTTATAGGGTTTAGGGTTCCAAGTAGCGCTTTAGTTCCATGGACCTCTAAGTTGTTTCAATTCTGAGCTGGACAGAAATAGGTTAGCCCAACCATCAGTAGGGTTAGAAGCCCAGTTCTAAGTAGTGCCGAAGTCACATGAAACCTAAACTCTAAACCCTAAACTCTATGTATCCCCAAAATGAAACTGCTCAAAGCTCAGCCACCAGGTTCCGTCCAGCTTCGACAGGTCCAGGCGGGTTTGGCCCAAGAGTCGCGGACGGAATGCGCCACAGCTGTTCCAAAAGGGAACCTTCCATGGCTTTGGGGGGTTCAGTAGGTTTTAGGGTTTGTGGTTGATGGTTTGGGGCTGAGGGGTTAATTGGAGTTCAGGGATTAAAGCCTAGACATGTAGGATGTAGGATTCGATCGCTTAGGGTTTAAGGTTGAACTCCTTTTCCGGGGCTGCCCATCACAAGGATTAAATGCATATGGGAGTTTGCAATGGGCTTTGATTTATGGAAACCTCCAACAAACTTAGGGATCTAGGGATTTCTGGCTCGTGCACGTGCACGTTTAGGGCCCCAGGGATTCAGAAATTCAGTGATTCAGGGTGTAGGGCTAGAGGTCCGTGAGTTTAGGGTTCGGGGCTCTAGCGATCACACGAGTTTGAGAAGGCTGACGGGTATTCGACATTGCGGTTATAAGTAGCATACTATACTAATTACTGGAAAACCCTGGATCCAAAGATTTAAGGCTTGGGGTTTAGGGCTTGGGGTTTATGGCTAACGTTCATGAAAGTCTGAAATGGCACCCTCTACTGAATTGTGAGAAGGATTCAGATTTATCAATCTCTGAATGACGCTAGAGATGGGTTTGAAAAGGAATCCTAATCCGCGAAACAAAGCCGAAACAGGTAACCCTAAACCCTAGGCCCCAAGCCCTAAACCCTGAACCTTGAATCCTGAATCCTATCCCCAGACCCTAACCCCTAAACCCTGCACCCCCAAAACTTAAACCCAAAGCCCCAAACCCTAAACCTTAAACCCTAAAACCCCCAACCTCATCCCCAAGGAAACCAAACCCTGGATTCTAAGCCTTAAACCCTAAACTCTAAGCCCTAAACCCTGAACTCTAAACCCTAAACTCTAAATTGTAAACTCTAAACCCTAAACTCTAGACCCTAAACCCTCAAACCCCAAAGTCCCCACACATCCACCGAGCCTGCAGTTCCTGGATGTCATCCGGTCTCCGGGAATCCAGTGAGCTTGTGGGTGCCTGCAGAGGTTTAAGGTTCTGGGTTAGGATTCAGGGTTTAGGGTTTATAGGGTTTAGGGTTTAGGGTTAGGCTTTAGAGGGTTTAGGGTTTAGGGTTTATAGGGTTTAGGATTTAGGGTTTAGGGTTTAGGGTAGGAGCTTGGGTAATCCAACTTTAGGGTCTCATAGCTATCATGCAACTATTAAAGCCTTTTTGTAGTCACTTATGAGGAACTAATTTGCGGGGTTGGGGCTAGCAAGACGCCCCCTCAGTATGCAGGAGGACGGCTTACGCTGAAGGCCCCAGGTTTAATTGCTTAGGGTTTAAGGCTTAGGGCTTAGAGTTTAGTTTTCGGAGTTTGGGCTTTAGTTTTTGGGTTGTTTGCTTCTTGCTTCCGTTTCAAAACCCTCAAGGTTTAGGGTGCAATTTGCGAAGGTTGGGCTTTGGGTCTAAACCCCAGGCTCTGTGGGACTTAGAGTTGTGAGTTTAGGGTTGCACAGCAGTGCGGGGTATCTCTGGCGAACCAGGGGCCTAGCTGCGTACGGCCATACATCTGGGGATTTTATCTTGGCGCCTAGACGGGGTCAAGGGCAAAGTGATGGCCCTTCCCTGACTCAATTGCGATACACAACCCAAAAAAGGGGCAGGGTGGTTTCCCAAAATTCGGGATACCTTTTTGGAGGTACCTATAGACAGGATTATAATATTTGGGGGTCTACATTAGGTTTCTCCAAACGATTGGATAAAGTTGATATCAATTATAGCCAGTTGGATCTCCGGGCAGGGTTTCCTAAATCCTAAATCGCTCCTGCATTCAAACGTCTCAACCTCAACCTTGAGTGCAACACCCTCTTCAGCGCAAAATCCTGAACCTTCAATGGAAAATCCTACACCTCCAGGGTAAACTCCCTAAACACCAGATCCTAAACTTTTACTGGGTTGCTGCTACGGAATTTTAATCAAGATACCATAATATGGGTATATAGTGACTAGTAGGGTTTCCTTATGATAGGAACTTAACCTAAGCTCCTGAACAGCAACCCAATTTAGGTTCGACTGAAGGTGTTGTTTCAATATCGAGGATTTCAGCCCGTCACTTGGGATGCGAAGTGGGGTAAAGAAGAAAAACGGCAGCTGGTGCTCAAGGCGGAAGAGACGAGTCTGGGATGGGTTTGGGACTAATTAGGATTTAAGGAATTAGGGCTTGGATTTCATAAGACCTGTGAAAATTCCGGTGTCATTGCTTTATTGCCTATACGTACATATATATATATATAGATCCTGGTCACAAAAATTCAGAATAATATGCCAAGGAATACCCTAGTATTGTAGGAATTCAAGTTGCATTTGAAGGGTGAGGCTTCCGAGATGCGAGATCAGAGACTGAATTCTACATCAACCCGAAATCACAACCCCTAAACCCTAAACCCCTAAAATCCAGAGTTTAGGATTTAGGGTTTGAGGTATTCAATGCTAAAAACCCTCAACCTCAGCCCAAAATCCTGGACATGCAGGCCGAAATCCCACACCCAAACCCTCAGCCTGGGACACGCTGAACCAAACCCTAAGTTCACCCTAAAACCTAAAAGTTTAGGGTTTAGGGTTTAGGGTTTAGGTTTTAGGGTTTAGGGTTTAGGGTTTAGGGTTTAGAATGGAAACTAGTATAGAATATTGGGGTAATATCGGGATAATGGAAAAGAAAATGGAAACTACTATAATATAATAATCCCTAAACCCTAAACCCTAAACCCTATAGAAGCCATTACAGGAGTTTCCATCTTATTTTCCATTATCCCAATGTAACCCCAAGATAACCCTTCAACCCAAACCTTGACGCCTACCCAAGCCCCAAGAATATAGGAGGAATATATGGATCACATGGGAGCAATATCGCGATATATACCAAACTCTAAATCCTATAGGGTGAATATAGGAATAACAATGGAAGGTAAAATCGGGATGTATAAGGTACTTTGAGCCTCATCCTCGACTGTACAGCTGCAATTTGCGCCCATGGCTCCGTATTTCAGCTATGTGTTTCTGGTACTCCCAAAGTCATAAGGGTTTCGGGCCGTTTAGGGTTTAGGATACCGGGTCTAGTGTTTAGGGTTTTAGGGTTTCGGGCCTGTAGTTTTAGGCTCCAGGGCTCAAAAATTGAGATGCTTCGGGTCAGCGGGGCTTTAGGTTTGAGTCTGTAAGTTCAAGGAAGTCTGACACTCAGTCTTAAGCGCTACTCCATAAACCATGTTTAGGGCATTGGGACAGGTAAGCAGAAATGCATTGAACCTGCATCTTGGACAAGAATCATTCAGGGCTCCGGGCAAAGCGCTTGGGACCCAAAATCCTAAACCCTAAACTCGCAAACCTTAAGATTTTGAGGTGTACAGCCGGGTATTAGAGCACAATCAGACCAGAACTCCACCATGCTAAACTGAAACTCAACCCAAACTCGACCCCTAAACCCCAAACCATAAGCCCTAAACCCTGAACCCTAAACCTAAAGTGTCATACAAAAACTAGGACATCAGTCCCAATCTCTGGTCCCAACCCCCATACCTGAACCCTTTGAAGGTGTTTAGGGTTTGGGGCTCAGGGCTTAAGGTTTAGGGTTTAGGGCTTAGGGTTTTGGATTTAAGGCTTAGGGTTTTGGGTTTAGGGCTTCGGAATGCCCGCGGCTAGAGCCGATCCTTACTCCCCCGACACAGAGCCGGCGCTCTCTCCTGCGGTCTTTGCACAGGATCTGAGCCTCAAAACTGCTGCTTTTGACGCTTCGTAACCCAAATATTACTATTGCCATCACTATTATTACTATTCCTATTCCTATGACTGAGACTAGGACTATTGTTGCTACTATTAATAGAAGTACAGGTCAACAGAATGCTATTCGCGCTGACTCCACTCGTCGCGAACACAATCGTAATCACAGAAAGAAACAAAGACAGAAATTGTGTCCATCAGAAGAGAAATATGGATATTATCAGAAAGCCTTCCGAGCACAAGGAGCAGCAGCAGCAGGACAAGGAGTGGAAGAGCAGTAGCAGTACCAGCAGCAGCAAGAGAAGCAGCCATAGTAGTAGTAGTAGTAGTAGTAGAAGAAGAAGAAGCAGCATCAGTAGCAGTAGTCGCAGAAGTACTTGAGAAAAGAGAGTGCGCCAGCAAGTCACAGAAATGGCAGCAACCGTCCCTATAACAACCAGGGTGGGGTTATAGCCCGTGCCTTTATACTACCAAATGGGAAACAATGTCTATGACTGAACCCTAAACCCTAAACCGTATGGTTAAACCCTGAACCTGAACCCCTAAACCACGAACCATACCGTTAAACCCTGAACCCTAAATCCTAAACTTTTTCCCCAGAATAAGAATTCTGAGCAACCTTGCACACGGCTGAACCCGAAACCCTGGTTCCCCAACCGCAAACCCTGAACCCTATAAGCCTGAGATCCTAAGCTCTACATGGTAATCTCCCAGAACAAGGAACGCCCAGTATGAAACCCAATATATTGTAATCCTTATTCGACGGACCCCCCCGAAAAGGAACCAATAATTCGGGAACCTCCCACATCAAAGCCTTCAGACCAACGTCCAACACGAGCAACCCTAAATCCCAAGCCCTCAACCCTAACTAGGGCTTAGAGTTTAGGGTTGGAAGAATACTTGCCGTTTTTTCCACTATCCCTATATACTGCCTATGTCATCCCTATATCCCTATATAATCCTTACATAGTCCAACACAAGCAACCCTACAGTTTTCTGCCTGCGCCTTTAGCCGGGCGAAATCGCGCCTTGGTTTGGGCTTCGGGACGGGTTTAGGGTTTTGGAGGTTTAGGGTTTAGCTATTTTAGGTTTAGGGCTTTAGGGTTAAGGCTTAAGGTTGAAGGGTTTGGGGGGTTTGATGGTTGAAGGCGCAATACTTGAAGGTCAGGCATACAGCTTGGGTGCTGGGATGTTTCGCAATGACGTGGACGGCTTTCGTCACTGAAAAGATTCTGCAAAACAAGTTTCAAAAGCAGATTCAGGACTTCGTAACAGATTACCCCAGACCCTAGGGTTTAGGGTTGAGGGTTTAGGGTTTAGGATTCCTCCAAAGCCTACTTAACCCGCAGACCCTCAACCCCAAACCCAAACCCCTAGACCAAATCATTCAACATTACTTGGAGGGTTAGGTGGACTTGGTAAATAGGAACAGAATGGGGATATCTATGGTTACTATATGGGCTATGGAGGTTATTGTATAACCTACCTACTGAATCCCTCTGAGCCTCCAAGTAGACTCCCTAAACTCTTATTAAGCAGGTACTAGACCCTAAACATCCCAAAATCCTCGTTCTGAGGCAGTTGCCACTTCCAACTTTTTGATTCTTTGGCTGGAGAACTCAAGTCTTAAGCAGGAAATCCAGATTTCCGGGCTCCTAAGGATTTCAAGGCTTAGGATTTAGGGTTTAAGGTTTAAGGTTTGCTGCAATGCTGCGTAGCGGCAGTGAGGCATAGATTGCAAGACTCGTTAGCCGTTTTGTTGCTTGCGAATCGCAACCAGGGCCCAACTGTGGAGGGCCATCTCACAACTC